GAGGAGAGTAGAAAGAGAAAAAAAAAAAGTAAATGAATATACATTTATATATAATTTTATTTAGACAGAATAGATATATATAATTTATAACTTTATATAATTACTATAAAATCGGAAAGAATTCTGTAAACTGGTAAGTTGCAATAGTTTACTAATACATTCATATTAGCGGGGAGGGGAACTTTTAGGGACATTGAGGAATTATACAATTGTGAACGATTGTAGAGAGGACAGGATAGAAACATATGATTTAAATTTCCAATGTCGGTTCACACACACTCACATATGGCACTATATACAATATTAAATCTAACAAGGGTTGCTAGAGAACAGGTATGACCATTCCCATCCTAATTAATAAACTAGTGGACCTCTTGCCAAACTTAATTTAAAAAAAACCATGGTTTGACAGGTATATCGCTTTGAAAATTGCGATAGAATTTAGCTTTAAATCTGTTATATTTGGCTCAGATCTCTTTCCATGTATCCACGAGAAAGCGACCACCTGTTTATATTACATTGACTAGGGATCCTAATAAAAATAATGCGACAGTATTTTTGAACACTTTCATATAACAACAGTTTTATGTCGTAAATTATAAAAGGTGGATATTTTTGTTTTCGAAGCGAAATTTCTTTACAGCTTGCAATGAACTCAATGAATGAATGTAAAAATTAGCGTCCGTTTTAACTTCATCCGATGAACATATTCAACTGCTTTATATAAACGTAGACGTTCACCAGTAAATACAGATGGTCTCGAGGGAGTTTAATTTTCTGGACTATGTTAAATTGTTTATGATACACACCGACTCCTCCGATGGCGTCAGAGGATTGTTTAGAAGCATCTGTATAAATATGGGCATAATTGTCCCAATTCTCATCAACTGTAGCGTTGAAAATATTATTGGCATTAGGGTTTCCCTTTTCAGTACCTATATTTAAAATAATATTGGGTATTGTAAGCAATGCACTGAAGTGTATATAATAAATAGGTAGTTTTAAACTATTATGTGTAGGAGCAGACAGAGCGGTATATGTGTCGTAACTGTTTACTAATATAGGTGGTTTCTTATGTTTCCAATGAGGAACTGATTTGACTAAATTTGATAATCTATTTAATTTTGGTATAAGAGTATGATGAGAAAACTGTAAACATCTGATGAAATATCTATCGGCCAATAATTTACGTTTCAACTCTAGAGGGGACTCGACGTATTCAACTTGCAAGGCAATGATAGGACCAGTAATGATTCGTAAAGCTTTAGATTAGCTATTATTTAATTTCTGGAAGGCCGTACCATTACCAGGTAGGGTAAGGAAAAGTATATTGGTGATAAAAATGATAAAAAAACTAAATTTATAAGCATTTTGCAACTAAGCAAAAAGTCACTTTTGTTTTACTACATTATCTATTATTTGAAGTCTTATTTTAAGAATAGTTTTAGTAACAAAAATCTATAATTTTAAGAATAAATCTCAATTTAGTACACAAAAAGCCTAAGGTAAGTTGGCGTCACAGTCCGGTAGATTGGTGATACTGGGTAGGAAATTTGGTGATAGTATGAAAATTCTCTTATAATCAGATATTTTGAACTTAAAATATAAAGTATTTGGCACTTTAATAAATATTATTCCATGCAACTATCACACCTATAATACAGCTGTTCTTCGGGATCAGTATCTTCGATGGATGCGCAGATCTCGTGGTATGGGGTGAGACAGTACGAACACTGGATCCATTTGGCTCCATTTCTTTTTTTTTACATCAGCTGAGTACAAGACCTCACATACTCCACACTCCCAATTATTTTCTATTTCTTGAATTTTACTTTTTTTGCTTTTTGAGCAGATTTGCCCGACGTTGAGAGCTGAGACTGAACGTTTTCTTGTATCGAATCTTTATTTGCATTAGCAATTGTCGGTGTTAAACATTTCTTTATGGTAGAATCTCTTTTTCTTGACTTTTCTAGGCGTTTTGAAGCTTTGGGTGTTTTTAAAATTAGATCTACTTTAGGTTTAGTACTTGAAGAAGAACTTTCAGATACTGCAAGAGCTATGTTACTTAAAGCTGAAGGTCATAATGCTTTCTTTGAAATAGCATTTCCTTTTAAAGGACATATCCTCGTTTTTTGAAAAGCACTTTCAATATTCCTTTTAGTAAAGGCACTTATGAATGCTGGATTCATAATGGAATGGAAGTTACTGCGATTTGGAGCATCTGTAGGGTTATTGCTCATGTACCTATTCATGCTGTCACGCCAGTAACTTTTAAGTGGCTTAAATAGACCCACGTCAAAAGGCTGCAATAGATGCGTGCAATGAGCTGGGAAAGTAAATAGATAAACTTGGTTATCTTTAGCAACTTTAAGAACTTCTGGCCCAATATGTGCTGAATGTGAGTCCATTACAAGGACCACAGGACGTTCGGGTGGTATGGAAGTTATAAAAAAATTTAATCATTCTAAAAATAATTCCGAATTGATCCATCCTTTGGGTGATAGTTTGATTAATGCGTTGGGAAGAGAATCATTTTTAAGTGTATCGTTCCACCTAACACCTTTAAATATTATCATAGGAGGAATCCATGTTCCGTCTGCGCAAATACATGCCAACATTATTTGATTTTAACCTCGTTCAGCGTAGGATTTTTTATAAATATACTTTTTACCAATACCAGTAACAACTTTAGATGGTTTCACTACATAGGACAAGCCAGTCTCGTCACAGTTCCAAATTAAATGTGGTTTGTCCTTGATAGTGAGATTAGTAAAAACATCGTCTAGTTTAAAAAAGAAGTCTTTGATCATTACCTCATTAGCCATAGAAACCCTATAGGCTGAAAGATTTTCTGGCACACGAAAGCATAAATTGTACCTACATTTAAAGCTGTTTCACCACCATTTGCTTGCAATGCGATTAACTGATGGCAAGAAGTTCTCCCGACCAGCCACTACAGCAAGATCGTAGGCATATTTTCTAATTTGATAAACGGTAAGTCCAAACCCCAATTCTTGCATTTCTATAATATAATTGTAAAGCCTTATCTCTAATTCACAAGGAAGTGCATAAGGCCTCCCCATTTTTCTTACAGAATCCTCTTGATTCTCTAGGTATCGCTTTAAGGTGCTCCATGGGACGTCTGCTTTTTTGGAAGCTTTATATATGGTTTTACCTTCATTTCTTACTAAACTGACGGCTTTTTGAAGTTGCTGCTGATTATATTTTCTATATTTACTCTATTTTTCCATTGCTAATCTAGAGATATAACAAAAATAGGTTATTTACTGATATTAAAAAATTATGCATAGGTAACTTGGCGATAAAAAAATATACTCAAATTCAAAATAAAACACATTCACAAATTCCTCAAAATAATACCTTTCTAACTCTATATTAGACTTCCCTAGTTTATTTTTAATATAAGCACAAAATACATCTCAAGTTAACCTCTCAAAAATGTATCCAAAACTTTGGCAAAAACACTAAGAAACAACGGCCACAACTTAAGAAATAAAAACTCACATTAACTGTGTCACGACTTCACTGCAGTTTTTTTTTCAATAATCATTAGTTTATTGAAAGATTTTAGTAAGTTTTTACACTGATTCACTAATTTATTTCAGTTAATTTTAACGAAATACATAACGTGGCGCAGACTCGGTAAATAATGGCGCCACTGATGCACAATCAACAAAAAAGTTTGTTTACTAAACGCAGGAATCGTGTATCGAAGCGCGTATTATACATCTATTTTCCTCACTCTCGTAACAACTTGCTAGCGCTGCCTTTTGAATGTGCTTGTACAGGTACACGAGTGGTATTCTTTCTAAAAACTATCAGCGAATTACTTATATCACCAATATACCTTTCCTTAATAATGATATCTGCCTCATAATAATAATACAGAATTAGCTCTTACTCGATAGTAGGTATCTATATTTATCTACATCTACACTAATATTATAAAGAGGAAAAAATTTTATTTTTGTGTGTATGTTTGTAATGAATAAACTCAAAAACTAATTTGCCGATTTAAAAAATTCTTTCACCATTAGAAAGTGACATCCACCCTGAGTAACATAGGCTATATTTATTGCTAGAAAAGATTTGGGATCCTTACTAAAACTTTAGTAATGTAACTCGAGGTGTAAAAAATGTTATAAATTATCTCTCTGACGCATGCGCTGCGGAATCCATTGGTGACAGAACAAAAGTATGTTCTACAATATTGATGAAAATATCAATAACTATAAAAAACTTCGCGATCGCGTAACTATATGTACAACTATTATCGTTGTCACAGTAACCACTTTTTTAAAATGTTTTAAAAATGTCTACCCGTGCGAAGCCGGGACGGGCCGCTAGTCATTGATAAAGCAAACTTTATACCATTACCAATTTCTCGTAAATTTTATAGATAATTTAATATATTAATAAGTATATTTTTTTCTTGCATATATTGTATCGGTATCGAGTACCGAGTGTGCAATTTTTTTTTATCGTAATTGAAAACTAGTGGTCATGCACTTATTTCTGTTCAGCCATTTAATTTTGTCGATAATATATACATACTGTAGGTAATATTTTTAGTTTTTTATTATACAATACGTACTAGTACTTAATTTTTAATAGACAAAAATGAATTTATATTTTAGCTAACTTTATTATGTTTATTTAAATTATATTTTCTTATTACCTAAATTCTTTTTACAATATAGACATGTGTAATGTACTTTAAAAAACTGACATACACACTTTACATTATTGCTTGTATATTTATGCTTATTAAGTTACTCTTTGTTATTGGTAAGTTAATTTAATCATAATATTAGAATTGATATACTTATCCACAAATAGTTTATAAATATTTATGCCCAGCTACATTTTCGTCATTTTAAAGTATGTACTGTTAAAGTTTACTTAAAATGGGCAACTACAATGTGTAGAAAATAGATAAGCTTCTTATATTAAGTAAATGAATAAAATACAACACTGAGTTTTAATAAAAAGAAAAATTAATACGAAATTGTTTTATTATTTATTTACGTCGACGTCTGGGCGTACCAGAGCTCCCTGGTGCTGACGCGCCTTCAGACTCTCGGGGGCAACGGCATCGCACAATGTGGTTTATTATCAACATGTATCAACAGATGTTGGTTTAAATTTGTTTTTCGGGTAAAACATTTATTGCATACATCACAACTGTATGGCTTTTCACCAGTATGTATAAATAAATGCTTTTTTAAATCTGAGTATATTCTAAAACATTTACTACATACATCACAGCTATATGGCTTTTCACCAGTATGTATCAACAGATGCTGTGTTAAAGTTGATCTTTGGTTAAAACATTTATTACATACATCACAACTATATGGTTTATCACCAATATGTATCAACAGATGTTGGTTTAAATTTGTTTTTCGGGCAAAACATTTACTGCATACATCACAACTGTATGGCTTTTCACCAGTATGTATCAACAGATGTGTCTTTAAATTAGATTTTTGGCTAAAACATTTATTACATACATCACAACTATATAGCTTAATACCAGTATGTAACAACAGATGTGTCTTTAAATATGATTTTTTGCTAAAACATTTATTACATACATCACAAATATATGGCTTTTCACCAGTATGTATCAACAGATGTTGGTTTAAATTTATTTTTCGGGTAAAACATTTATTGCATACATCACAACTGTATGGCTTTTCACCAGTATGTATCAACAGATGTGTCTTTAAATATGATTTTTGGCTAAAACTTTTATTACATACATCACAACTATATAGCTTAATAGCAGTATGTAACAACAGATGTGTCTTTAAATATGATTTTTTGCTAAAACATTTATTACATACATCACAAATATATGGCTTGTCACCAGTATGTATCAACAAATGTTGGTTTAAATGTGATTTTGTGCTAAAATATTTATTACATACATCACAACTATATGGTTTATCTTCAGCATGTATCAATATATGCTTTTTGAAATGTCTTCTTAATTTAAAAAATTTTTTACACATATCACAAGTGTATGGCTTTTCACTAGCATGTATTAACAAGTCATGTTTCAAGTGTGATACCTGGGTAAAAGGCTTATTACAATGTTTAGATGAATATAGTTCCTGTTCAGTATGGACAGACATATGGCATTCTAGTGTATTGTAGGACTTAAATGTCTTACTGCAAATATCACATGAATAAACTCTATCAGACACTTCCTGATGCTCAAATTTATAGATATCATGCTCCTCATCCTCATTATTCAGAACTTGTTCAGAATCAGGTTCTAAATGTTTAGTAGTTCCAAAGACGGTCCCTATTTGTAAAACTGTAGGTCCTATAACCAACTCATTCTTTACTTCATGACCCTCATACAGCTCTAGGAGATCATTCTCCTGGTCATGGAATATTATATGATCACCGTCCAATTCCTCTGTGACATCAACATACTCTGTCTTTACAACTCCCGCTTCGTCTACGTCATGCTGAATGTTATCTTGTTTAATCAATTGTTCCTGTGTAGTTCTCATCACTGTGCTGCAGTCTGGACGCTCTTTATATTGTGGAGCCACCTGCTGGTCGGTGTTGTGGGAGATATGTAAATTCTCACCTTGTGATTTGCCGGTAGTCATGTTTCAACTGAAAGGCATAGTGGAAAGTGTGAGAATACAACTCGCTGGTTTAGTTTTAATTTTTTGTTACATGATAGTGTTCTCTATCAGACAACCATTGGGCAAACAGAGAAATAAGTAGGCGGTGCATTAATAAATTGAAGGAATATAAAATGTAATATATATTCATATATTATAAACATATAATTACACTAATATAAACATATATGTAATATATCAAATAAATAAATGTATACATAGATAAATAAAGACAAATGTTACTACAACAAACAATTACAGTTATACTACTAATGTAGATATGTTCATCATGCCCTGTGCACCCAGTATGACAGTCACGAAGACGCCTCGCGTTCACTACTGTTGTGACATCACTAACACAAATTTTGAAGTTTGCTGCATGTTTATTTGTTTATGTAAAACTTGTAAATGTTGTGTAGTGTACGATATTGGGTGGGGGAAAGGGATTGTCAGTAACGTGGACTACCACTACCGTTGCTAAAAATATACCCTATCAGTTCGATCTCCACATGGTCCCCTCTGGAAATCATCGTTCTGAATTCCAGTTGTATTCATCACAATGGGATAACCGACCTGCCTTTTTATTCTCACTTATCGGATAATACCTTCTCTGGTGCTCCGCTAGCGTATACTGTTAGCGCAGGTGGAGCTAACATTTCCTTATCATCTATTAAAAAAAGTGTTCGGTATTACCTTCATTATTATAATGACGGTGAGAAATAAAATACACCGTAATGGACAAGGAATATGTACAGCAAAATAATACGTAGAGGTTCACTCTAGGATTTAGAATCACTCGTTTTTACTTTAGTGTCAAAATATGACAGCGCCTAAAAGATAAACAGTTTTGTTAAAATTATTACACAAGCACTAAACGGAAATAGTATCAACATAACAAATTTATCTGTATTTTAAACTTTTTGTGTTACAATACCTATATAACAAAATATATTTTCATGTAAAACAAGATGTTTCAAGTAAATATTTTGTTAAATTATTTATGAGATACACGAATAATTACCACAGATTAAAGAGAGACCAAAGAGTGTATAAACACTTGTTATAACCTAAGAACAAGAATTACATAGAAGGAATGTCAATTCATAGTAGGCTAGTGTATAGAAAAAGATATACGGCCGTATAACCCCAATAAATTCAGATACAACCTGCTTGCATACTGTTTACATAAACTGTGTCGAATATACATATAATCTAGTAATGTAAAATTTGTCATTGACAAATAATTGACATATCAAACATTTTAATGCACTAGCCTGCCGTGTATTAAAAAAAAATAGCAACTGATGTTGTACCTCTCGTCCTCTTTTTACTAATTATATTTGCATAAAAAGAAAGGAGACAATTACGTGATTTACAGTTGTTATTTTATAATTCTTTCTGTATAATTCCTTGTTCTTCCATCAGGAATTAACCATGATAGTTTCTAGGGGGAATCACGAGGAGGTTGACCTGGTTGGGTATATTGCTAGCAATGGGATTCTTAGTCTCCATTACTAACAATCCCTTTCCCCCTATAACAAGTCTGTTTTTTTTTTATGGGTGAAAATGGTATGGTAACCTCGCCTGCGCTAACGGGATACGCTGACGGAGCACCAGTGAAGGGTGATAGATGAGAATGAAAACAGGCCAGTTAGCCCATCATGATGAATTCATCAGCAATTAACCATGATAGTTTCCAGGGAGAACCGCGAGGAGGTCGACCTGGTTGGGGTATATTGCTAGCAATGGGATTCTCAGTCCCCATTACTAACAATCCCTTTCTCCCTATAACAAGACTGTTTTTTTTTTTTTTTGATGGGTGAAAATGGTATGTTAACCCCGCCTGCGCTAACGGGATACGCTGGCGGAGCACCAGTGAAGGGTGATAGATGAGAATGAATAACAAGACTGTTAAAAATATTTTAGTTTTTCAGCATCATTGTCAGTATTGAGTTTAACAGTAGGAGGAGCTCAGAAGTTCAGTAATACGAGGGTCAAACTGAAAGTCCTTAGAAAATCAAAAACTGATTAAATTAGCAACTTTTTACCTTCATTTTATCTTTTCAAGATAGTGTCCATTCACGTCAATACATCGCTGCATCCGATAGAACCACTGAGAAAAGCACCTTGCCCACTCGTCCTTAGGGATCTCTTCGACGGCCTTCTGAAACGTAGCCACAGCTTCCTCGGTGTCCATAAAACGTTTTCCTGGAAGTTTTTCTTTTATTTTTCGTAATAAATAAAAATCGCAAGGTGCGAGGTCGGGGCTATAAGGCGGATGACCCAGTAGTTCTACGTCTGAGGTCGCCAAATAATCGATCGTTTGCCTGGCGGTGTTGCGGTGTGCGACGAAGCATTGTCGTGATGAAGGAGGATCCTACTGCGAGGTCGTTTCTCACGCACTTTTTCCAAAACACGTGGCAAACAATTGTTACTGTACCACTCTGCAGTAACTGTTTTTCGATCCTCTAAAACAATTGTCGCGTAACGACCTGTCCTTCCAAAGAACGAGGCCACCATCTTTTTTCCCACGCTTTGACCTCTCTTCACTTTAGTTGGCAATTCCTCGGAAGGAAACACCCACTGAGCTGTCTTTTAGTTTCGGGATCATAACAGTAAATCCAGCTTTCGTCTCCCGTAACTATGTCAAACATAGAATTTGAGTCACCTCCGTTAAATCTTTAATGCATTTCACGGCACCAATCAACACGACGGAGTTTTTGATCCTCGGTCAAATTATGAGGTATCCACCAGGCACAAAGCTTCCTGACCGCTAAATGTTCATGGAGGATTTTGTGCATTTGACTCACACTAATCCCTAAGCTTGCCTGGATCTGCTGATAGGTGCACTCTTATGTCAGTCTTTATCATACACCGCATAACACTGATGTTATCTTCAGTCGTCGCCGTAGAAGGCCGTCCCTCACGCACATCATCGGTGAGATTAGTGCGACCACATGTAAACTCATTAAACCAGTTGTAAACAGTGGCACGAGACGGGGCTTCATCGTATAATGTTTTTATGACTTTCGATGTCATCTAAGAAGATGACATCGAAAGTCATAAAAAATCATCGCTCGAAAATTTTCTCGTGTTAAGTTCATGATAACGTTACACAGACTATTTTCAATTTGCCGCCAAACCGTAAAACAAATGACAAACGAATAATTATAATATGTTGTATTATTTTATAATTTCTATTACCATATGATTTACAGTTTTTATTTTATCATTCCTTCTATGTAATTCCTTGTTCTTAGTTATTTAAAAATAGTTATTTAAATAAAAGTATCTTTTCTTTTTTTTTATCTATTTTTCTCATAAGACCAGACCCATACCATAATATTGTTTTTGTTTTTTTTTTTTTAATGGATGGTAATGAAATGGCAACCCTGCCCATCATGATGTATTCATTAGAAATTAACCATGATAGTTTCCAGGGGGAACCGCGAGGAGGTCGTGGATATTGCTAGCAATGGGACTGGTAGTCCACGTTACTAACACCCCCCCCCCTTATCATATTGTATTGTTACCGAACTTAGATAAGTATGCCACGTCGTCACGGACAAACGTTTGTTTCAAGTAATTATTACTAATAATAATAAATAAGTTTCACGGACCCACGCAGTTAGACCAATGGCGTGGACCTAAATTGCGATACCGAAATTGACCCGAACGGGATTCGAACACGGGACCTCATTACGCAAGTCAATGTGCCCACCACTGCGCCACGGATGTCGACAAACTTGTTAATTTGGCTGTACAGTTTAATTCCCTGACATTATTTTAAAATAATAAAAGCAATCACTGTAACAAGCAATTAGTGTGTGTTACTCTTTATTGCCAAGTCTACAATCAGTCGTGTTCCAACAAGCAAAAGGGTAGAATGCGGCCAATTTTTCTGTTAGCATTGGTAAGTTGGACTTTTCAGACGATTTAAAAGAAATCTTTTTTTATTTCTAGTATATATTTTTTTTTTTTACAACACAAGGGGCAAACGAGCATGCAGCTCACCTGATGGTAAGTGACTACCGCCGCCCATGGTCACCCACAACACCTACGGCATTGCAGGTGTGCTGCCGGCCTATATATCCATAGTTTACATTCATTACCAGAAAAAATTAATTGGATTTAATTACTCTGCAATTGTTTAGCTCCGGGAGAATGAACTGTAAGTTGATTGTTGGATACGCGAATGAAGGAATAATTGTTTTTTTTTTTTTTTTAATTATTTTAAGGGCTTTTACCTTCTTCAGGTATATCAGTTTCAATTACACACGACATTTTTATTACGTATTTCGGACACAATATTTTAATACAAAAAAAAAAACACGTCTGCTCGGCACGGTAATTCAAGCAAGGGGGTTGTTGCCATGACATAAAATATTAAATATTTGTTGGGTTTGTAAAATCATACGTCTAACATAAACCGATTTGGAATTTATTTTTATCTCAAAGAATATACTTTGAAAATCGATACAGCTGTTTAATTTTACGGCAAAAAATAAACATCCATTTATATTTTAATGGCGACCCGCTCCGACTGGGGGGAAAGGGATTGTTAGTAATGGAGACTGAGAATCCCATTGCTAGCAATATACCCAACCAGGTCGACCTCCTCGCGGTTCCCCCTGGAAACTATCATGGTTAATTCCCGATGATCATGATGGGCTAACTGGCCTGTTTTCATCCTCATCTATCACCCTTCACTGGTGCTCTGCCAGCGTATCCCGTTAGCGCGGGCGGGGTTACCATAACATTTTCACCCATCAAAAAAACCCGCTCCAACTTCGCACAAGTGCAACGCTGAACCCACAATTATCATTAAAAGATAGACATATACCATCGCAGACTTTTTGTAGACCTTCTAAAGGTGTCTAATATAATAGTACAATATTTTGATTCTATCTCGTTGAGTTCAGCCAGCGTTTGTAATGTAAGCGCAGAAAAAAAAGTGTTTATTTACGACATCACATTAGAAACCTCGAAAATTATCAGTTTTTTTTTTGATGGGTGAAAATGTTATGGTAACCCCGCCCGCGCTAACGGGATACGCTGGCGGGGCACCATTGAACGGTGATAGATGAGAATAAAAACAGGCCAGTTAGCCCATCGTGATGAATCCATCAAGAATTAACCATGATAGTTTCCAGGGAGAACCGCGAGGAGGTCGACCTGGTTGGGTATATTGCTAGCAATGGGATTTTTAATCTCCATTACTAACAATCCCTTTCCCCCCTAATTATCAGTGTTTCTCTACTATACTATATAAGTCTTCCTCTTCACTCTATTAAAACAAAATCGCATCAAACTCGGTTTTGTAATTTTTTAAGATCTAAGCATACATAAGGACAGACGGGAAGTGACTTTGTTTTATACCCGTAACATGTACCTATTGATGATAGTAAAATTTGCAGTTGCTGTCTTCAACAACGTTCTCAAACTCGGATCCTAGTGCAAGTTTCAACTTTAACTATCCAAACGTAAGTTTCAAAATACCGCCTATTCTTATTTATTTATTTATAACTCCTTGGAATCAACTTCCAGCAGCAGTATTTCCGAACCGATTCGACAATATAACCTTCAAGAAAAGAGCATATTCCTTTTCAAAAGGCCGGCAGCACACCTGCAATGCCGTAGGTGTTGTGGGTGACCATGGGCGGAGGTAGTCACTTGCCATCCGGTGAGCCGCATGCCCGTTTGCCCCCTGTGTTGTAAAAAAAAAAACTTATTGTGTTACAAATATTTTAGTAATTTAGAAAAAAAATGTACCTATACTCTGTACTGACAGCTATCATTTTTATATTATTACGTTTTTTAAGTTAACTTTTTTTTTATACAACTTAGAATGGCAAATAAGCTGACGGCCCACCTGATTTCGCCCATGATACTTACCCCATGTGTCGTCATTTCTGAGGACTGAGGTGTTATTCCTCTGTACGCCGGTATCAGTGTATGCCGGCTGAAGAACCCGGCGACCCGGAGGTCGTCGCCTCCGGAGTTGAAGCCGGGGTAGAGGGGTACACCCCGAGGCCCATACCTCGCCCGCCCACACATCATGCGGCAAGCAAGAGATGCCCATGTTGTTGTTGTTGTTAGGTTGTCAGTAAGAGATTGCTTTCAGCGACTAGGCCGCCTTTTGTATATGCACATTCTGTATAAATACTCTTTGTATTATTACTACTTATTATATTATTATTAATTACGCGGTAAAAAAAAAATTTGTAGACAAACAGTTAGTTATTCTTCTAAACCATCATTGCTTTGCCTTTTCCCAATTTCACCAGAGGGAGACTTTGTACAAAAGTCGTTTGCTTGGCCACCTCTGTCCCATTCGTGTTTCTACCGTGAAGCAGTTGTGTTCGCGTGGCTGTGTTTCGATTCAAAGTGTAGGATATAGCAATGAATTTACGGGATACAGAAGAATAACATTTGTGTCCTCAGGAATAGCAACGCATGGGGGGGTATCATGGGCGAAACAGTATACTCTGTTATGTCCATGGTACTGCTCATGTCTATAGGCGACTAAATAAAAAATAATAATAAAATGAATAAATATATATAAATAACAAATGTTATTTATATATATTTATTCGTTTATATATGTAATTTTAGTATGTATGTATATCAATAATTACTAGTACCGCATTCGAGTATTCTGACACTTCCCTATGGTTGACTGGGAGAGAATGCTTTTAGCATTAAATCCGCCATGTACACATATATGTACTAATGAATAAATAAATAAATATTTTTTTCTAAATCACAGATTAAAGATGATATCTATGATCAGCCAGTGAATATGATGGTAACTGAGAAGTCTCCGCATAACAAGGTTAGTTAATTACAATTTTTTTTTTATATCACTGAGGTGCGGTAAGCAGTCGAAGGATGGGTAGCAGCGTCCCTCTTAAAATATCTCCAAAAACCAACTGCGGTCGCCAACCCGCCTGACAAGCGTGGCGATTACTGGCTAAACCTCAAAAGGGGGAGGCCATAATCAGCAATGGATGGTTAATGTCTGATATGACTTAAGGTACATAACGAAAAGAGAAGTAGAAGGAAAACTAGAAACAGAAGTAATAACTTTTTTTGTCGTTCATTTTTTTTATACAACTTAGAATGGCAAACAAGCTGACGGCCCACCTAATGGAAAGTGGTAACCGTCGCCTATAGACATGAGCAGTGCTATGGACATAACAGAGTATACTGTTTCGCCCATGATACCCCCCATGCGTTGCCATTCCTGAGGACTCAGGTGTTATTCCTCTGTACCCTGTAAATTCACGCCATATCCCTTCAAACCGAAACACAGCCATGCAAACACAACTGCTTCACGGTTGAAACACGAATTTCCAGGATTATGTCCATGGTACTGCTCATGTCTATAGGCGACGGTTACCACTTTCCATCGGGAGGGCCGTCAGCTTGTTTACTATTGTAAGTTGTATAAAAAAAAACATCGATTTTGAGGAAAAATATTTGACGTTTGGACATCTTGTGGTACATGTAAAATAATAGGAAGAATCTATACAAGTTTGTGTAAAATTGGGTACAAGTGAAGGAAATCGTACCAATTTAATAAAAAAGTATTTGATATTTGGACAAAAATAAAAAATCGTCTCTGGCAACCTTGCCTATATGAATAAAGTTTTTTTTTTTATTTTCATCCGACTTCCTAAATTCTAAAGGTTCTCAGTTCAATTGTATGTTTTTTTTTAATATTCTTTACCTCATAAATCAGCCAGTTGTAAACCAGGTTTTTTTTATGGGTGAAAATGGTATGGTGAACCCCGCCTGCGCTAACGAGATACGCGGGCGGAGCACCAGTGACGGGTGATAGATGAGAATGAAAACAGGCCAGTTAGCCCATCATGATAAATTCATCAGGAATTGACCATGATAGTTTCAAGGGGGAACCGCGAGGAGGTCGACCTGGTTGGGCATATTGCTAGCAGTGGTATTCTCAGTCTCCATTATTAACAATCCCTTTCCCCCTGTACTGAAATGCTTCGCTGTATCTTATGTTGACCCTAAATTGCGTTGTAAAAAAAAAAATATTGTACAGAATGCTGTGCCAGAGACGGGCTTGCGCGCTGAAGTTGCTTGGTCCCCATACGACATGACGAAGCTCGAAGCATACCTCGACGCCCATAGGGAAGATGACGCAGATCACAACAGGATCCGGCGGAGTCCTAAGGTAGACGTTTCTTTCATGTTTTAGTGGCATTTTTTTATTTATTTATTCATAACTACATGTATGTGTACATGACGGACTTAATGCTAAAAGCATTCTCTCACAATCAAGCTTTTTTTTTTTACAACTTAGAATGGCAAACAAGCTGACGGCCCACCTGATGGAAAGTGGTCGCAAGCGTCGCCTATAGACATGACCAGTACCATGGACATAACAGAGTATACTGTTTCGCCCATGATACCCCCCATACGTTGCCATTCCTGCAGACTCAGGTGTTATTCTTCTGTACCCAGTAAATTCACACCATATCCCCACCCTTCAAACCTAAACACAACCATGCAAACACAACTGCTTCACGGTTGAAACACGAATGGGACAGAGGTACCCAAGCAATCGACTTTTTTACAGTCTCCCTCTGGTAAGCTAAGAGAAGTGTCAGAATACTTCTATACGGTACTAGTAAATATTGATATATATATACACTTACATGTATAAAAGATATCCGTGTGGTCCCGGTATCGAATAGGCCACCCCTTCCTTTCTCGTGGGTGTAGTAAGAAACAACTAAGGTAGGGCGAGGGATGGCCAGCAGCGTAGCATCATAACAGATTCTTAGTTTTGACGCCGCGCAAAATATTTGAAATTTTACGATCCTCACGACGCGTGATACCGACGCGCGCTTCTTCTTGGGTAGTTTTCGTATGCTTGAAGTGTTGACCTTACACAGCTGGGGGGAAAGGGATTGTTAGTAATGGAGACTGAGAATCCCATTGCTAGCAATATACCCAACCAGGTCGACCTCCTCGCGGTTCCCTCTGGAAACTATCTTGGGCAATTCCTGATGAATTCATCATGATGGACTAACTGGTCTGTTTTCATTCTCATCTATCACCCTTCACTGGTGCTCCGCCAGCGTATCCCGTTAGCGCAGGCGGGGTTACCATACCATTTTCACCCATCAAAAAAAAACCTTACACAGCTGATTCCATGCGTTGTGGCAGGATTTGAATACATGTATTACATTGCAATTTTTTGGTGTTTCATAGTATTTCATTACAAAATATTGTTATCTTGTATATAAAATTCTCGTGTCGCGGTGTTTGTTACCAAACTCCTCCGAAACGACATAACCGATTTTCATGAAATTTTGTGAAATTGGGTAGGTCTGAGAATCGGCCAACATCTATTTTTCATACCCCTCAATGATAAGGGTGACCCATCCCTAAATATATTTTTAAAAATTTTTTAACATTTTTTTTTTATTTTTATTTTATTATGACTAAGCATCGAAAAATATATACAGCTTCAAATTTTTACCCTTTTACGATCAACCCCTGTTTTTTAATAGCGATTTTTATATTTCTCAATAAGTGGTAAAACAACGTTTACGGGGTCAGCTAGTTTCTTTATATTATGACATAAAATAAAAAAATTACACTAGTTTTCAGTTCAAAGTAATTGTCTAAATTCAGTTTTTTGCAAACCTATAGCTAATAGCCAGAATATGTTATACATACTCGTATATGTTAAGGTAGTGTATTTTTTGCCTAAAGAATACTCTCACATTATGAGTATCCAGAGATTGCAGAAGGTATGATATTTTTCTTATGGGCATTCCGGAATATGGGCAACAAAACTTCTACACGGATCTGTAGAATATATCATGATGAATCATAGATCCGTGTAGAAGTTTTCTTAAGAAATCGCAGCGTGAGGTTCTTCAAAAAAGGGGCTATAAGATTTCTTCAAGATTAGCAACGCGTTATCTAAAATAATTTCAGAAGCTATGTTACTATTAGGTATGCTGTATGCTTGATTACACCATGTAATTGGTAGAAAAATATAATTATTATCCAAAATACAATATTGAGCGGTGAAATTTCTATTGGCAAAAGACTATGGTGCTGCGACTACGAGATGTGATCCACTTCCAGCTTCTAAACTCTTTAAAATCATATTTAGAGCACTTTAAATAATTGTCTAATAATAACACCCAAGACTTCAAGTACCATCAGTAGAAGCGGAAGAACTAGTAAAATTTTCTTCAAAGCGTTAAAAAATTTTTTAAATTCTGTCAAAGCAATACGAAAAAAGATCACACTGATAAAATTCGCTGCTAGAACCTAAAATTCTTGTGACATTTATCTCCTGTAAGGTGGATGTAGTTAGCTAATTATGCTGTTTCAATAATCAAGCGCGAAACTCCTATATACCACCTGTCTCTTAAGAAAAAGAATACTTACATGGTGGTTAGAGAGAGGCAAATGTTAAATGTGAAAGTTGTCACCTTACATTCTCTCAAATAAATTAACAAGTCTGACTAATATATTTGTAAGGGAACTATAAAAAAATCTGTCAACTACTAAAACTACAACTACAAAGAATATGTCACAGACATAAATCAAACACATGACTGTGTATAACCGGCTTGCTCTTTCGCAGAATACGCGAAGACTTGACACACTGAGCGGCCCGAAAATCCGGGAGCGACCGCACCACTACCTATACCCGGAGCCTGTGAAAGACAGGATACTGGAGTTCACTACCAGCACCAAAAAACCTGGTATTCTCCCCGACCAGATGAACCCGGGCGTTATTTTCCGGGTCAGAATGTCCGACGCCATCCTGAGGATCAAACAGCGTATGTACGAAGACCCGGAACGGCATATCGAATCCGATATAATATACACAAATTTGATCAAAAAGGTGGTTATGGATGAGATCACCAAGTTCCACAATCTCCTACTGATGTACAAAACGGATCGAAGTATAAAAGAGCATTTGGGAGAATGCGGTGGAAGGATCTACAAGTTTATAAGTTACATGACAATTAAAGTTCACATTTACTGTCTGTTCGATGCACTATGGATCGATGGGAACCCATATGTGATCGGGGACGAGTATTCAGTCACGCCAGTGGAGGTGCCTCCTATGCTGCAGTGTGATGCTGCCGAGTGTAATTCTATAGTGTTTGTTGATTCTATAACTGAACCAAAAGATCTCGATGAGTAAGCATGTTACTTTTGAATTTAATAAAGACTTTGGAAAAGATTATTTTTATTGTCGTCTTTGATATCAGCACTATTTTATTCATAACCTTACCTTACCTTTATCCAATCTGGCTCAAAGGACCAGATGGTTTCCAGGGGATCACCCCCTGGAAATCATCGTGCTGAATTCCAAGTGCTTTTTCATTCTCACCGCCTGTACAATGGATTGCGCTCAGAGGAATTGTTCAATATGATGCCCACAGCCACCTTCTACCATCGTACGGCTCGCCATCGACAGGGAGTTCATTCTCATGTCCTACAGCCTCAATGGTCGCGTACTGCGCGGTTTCAGAGATGTTTCCTCCCACAAACACTCAGGTTGTGGAATGAGCTCCCTGCCGAGGTTTTCTCAAGAGACTACAGCATGGGGTTCTTCAAAAGAGGGGTAAAGAGGTTTCTTCAGGGTCGGCAATGCACACGTAATACCTCTGGTATTGCAGGTGTTCATAGGCTACGGTAACCACTTACCATCAGGTGGGCCGTATGTTTGTTTGCCACCTCAGTGGTATAAAAGTGCACCGCCAGTGCATACCGATAGCGCGGGCGGGCTACCATTCCATTATCACGCATTTAAAAAGAGATGACAGGCGAAGTTAAAAGCAGGTTAGTTAGTCCGTCGTGATGAATTCCACATGAATTAATCACGCTGGTTTCCAGGGGGAACTGCGTGGAGGTCGACCTGATAGGGCATATTATCTGTAAGAGATTTCTTAGCAATAAGACCGGCTTTTGCACTACACTATGCTTATTGAATATTCTTCAATAAGTTCTGTAATACTGGTACAATAAAGTGTTAAATAAATATATATTGCTTATTGGCCACCTTAGTGGTATATAAAAAAAATGTGACAATGGAGAGACATCCTTCCCCCCTCCCCACAAGACGGATTTACCATTTTATTATGAATCATTAATAACCCCAGTCTCCTAACTACTTAAGCAGTAAATTCCAGTACCTTTTTGAAACTCACGATCGTAACCTTCGTTCCAGTAATACTCTCCAACTATCTATCTCCTCTCACTCCGTACTGATTTCGCTTCAAATTATGTTCTCCTACATTCTTCACGACTCTGGAACGCGCTTCCTGATGCCATTAAGAGACTACCGACTAAACCGTCTTTCAAAAAAAAACGTTCACGCTCACTTTTTTACTTTATCCGAGCAGTGAGTACTTTATATTATTCTCAATTTCGTGTCTAATATAGTATATGTTATATATGTGTAAGTATATTTGTTATTCATATATATTTATTCGTTTATATATGTAATTTTAGTATGTATGTATATCAATAATTACTAGTACCGCATTCGAGTATTCTGACACTTCCCTACGGTTGACTGGGAGAGAATGCTTTTAGCATTAAGTCCGCCATGTACACATACATAATGTACTAACGAATAAATAAATAAAAAAATAATAAAAATAAATGTATTCGTATTTATTTCCGCCATCTTTGTCCCGTTAACATCAGAGGCGGCGTGGTCACAGCAGACGACGCAGCAAGCTGCGAGCTTCCTCACCCTCAAGTGATGATGAGGTATGTATTATAACTTTATTTTTGAACTAGCCGTTTCTTGCGCCTTTGCACGCGTGAAACAGTTTACTATTAAATATAATATGAATGTAAAAGTTTTGTTTGTTTGTTTGTTCGTCTTTTCTTAGCGCCTTAACAGTTTAAATGTTCATTACAAAAATTGCTATATATAATGTATAACGTATTTATAATTCTTGTTAATATTATAAACTTGAATGTGAGTTTGTTTGTACCAATCTATATATTTTATAATCCAAGGGCTGATTACATTAAAAAAAAACAATACATGTTTTAAAAACTTAAGTTTAAGCAGCCAGTATTAAAACTCCAACAATATGAGAGCCATATAAATTTAAATTGGGCGGTTTGAGAATCACGGAGCTTTTTTGCATGGAGGCGAGGCGTTTTTGTCAGGCACCTTAATCTATGGAGTTAGGGGGGAGGGGACAATTGCAGTTAGATTTCGATTTAAAATAGACATTGCTGCCCATCTTGCAACCTTTAAATTCTCTTAGTTGCCTCTTACAACACCCACAGGAAAGGGTGGCCAATTCTATGCTGGATCCGTGAAGCAGTTGTGTTTGCATGGCTGTGTTTCGGTTTGAAGCGTGGGATATGGCGTGAATTTACAGGGTACAGAGGAATAATACCTGAGTCCTCAGGAATGGCAACGCAAAGGGAGTATCATGAGCGAAACAGTATACTCTGTTATGACCATGGTACTGCTCTTGTCTACAGGCGACGGTTACCACTTCCCATCAGGTGAGCCGTCAGCTTGTTTGCCATTCTAAGTTGTATAAAAAAAAATGGATCACACGGCACAGTTGACCTATGTATAATTGTAAACTATCCGGTTTCAAAATTGAAACTAAAAAAATTTTGAGATATAGTATCGAAATTCTTCTGTATGATGGGGGATTAAAACTAAAGAAGATACTGGATGTAACTATAAAAAATTAACAGGTGAAAAACGCAAGCACTACGGAGACACCTTCCCTACGTAGCAACAACTGGGAGACGCAGCAGGCGAAGAAGAAAAAAAAGAAGCACAAAAAGGATAAACCCAAATATGACACTTACGATCCCCCAGTAAAGGTATGATTTAAGCCAATTTACCAGAAGGAGACTTTAGTAGTAATAATTAATACAACATTATATTAGGGGGGAAAGGGATTGTTAGCAATGGAGTTTGACAGCCGCATTGCTAGCAATATGCCCTATTAGGTCAACCTCCACGTGGTTCCTCCTGGAAACCATCGTGAACAATTCTTGTTGAATTCGTCACGATGAGCTAACTGACCTGCTTCATTCTCACCTATCATCCATATTATCATCACTGGTGCCCTGCCTGTGTATACCGATAGCGCAGGTGGGGTTACCATTCCATTATCACTAATTAAAAAAAAATACAACATTATCACTTCAAACACTTAGTCCTCAAACTAGGATTACCCTTTATTATGAGGAACCAAGCAATTAACAGGTGAGAACACAACTCAAAGCACTCAGATTTGAACCAATTTGGAAAAACTCCTTTCGTATATTGGTCCAAATGTCGAACCCGAGATCTCATTAGGGAAGCAATGTTTACTGCTGCGCAACACACGTGGTTATCAAGTTTCTGCTACCAGACAGTTGTATTTACATAGCATATCCATATTTGAATGGTAAGATATAACAGTTGGCATTATAACTTGCATAAAATCAAATAGAGTCTTTGTACAAAAGTCGTCTGCGTGGATAACTCTGTCATACTCGTGTTACTGCCATGAATTGACTATGCCTTTAATGGTGTTTTTTACGCAACTTAGTACGACAAACAAGCTGACGGCCCACCTGATGGAAAGTGGTAACCGTCGACTATAGACGTGAGCAGTGCTATGGCCATAACAGAGTATACTGTTTGGCCCATGATACCCCCCATGAGTTGCCGTTCCTGAGGACTCAGGTGTTATTCCTACGACGTTTAAACCAAGTCTGCCTCTGGTATTATATCGGGTATATTTCGTTTTTGAGAGATATAGCAGTAAAATAAGAAGATCACGAAGGATCTTAGCTCTTAGAAATAGCAAACGTGAGATAGGCAGTACAATATATTTGGGGCTGTTCATGTCTACAGATGACGGTTACCGCTTTCCATCAAGTGGATCGTCAGTTTTGTTGGCTATTCCAAGCTGCATACTAAAAGATAGACCTTGTACAGTCGTCTGCAAAATGCAAGCGATTCCTGACCCCTTATCGCACTAATGAATTCTACCGTCAAGCAATTTTCTTACATGCTGTGTTCTGGTATAATCCTTGTTCTTATTATCGTGGAAATTTATGATTTAACTCTTCAAGGTTAGATTGGTATTGAAATTACATACTAGGTATTGGCTAAAAAACTTAACGTCACAAGAGGCAGTAACCCACTAATGATGGATGTCATGCGTTCATTAATTTATTAATTCTAATAGCCACTTACCATCAGACGGTTTTTTGATTGCCACCATTGTTCGTATAGGAATGGGAGTCCGGTTTCGTGGAGATGCCCAAGGATCTTTACCAGGCCCACCTTCGACCCGGCGTTATCTTTCGAATACATATGTCAGAAGCTATACTCAAGATGCAGTACCGCAAGTATGGAATTAATATATACATATATATATAAATACATATACATATATATATACATATATATATATATATATATATATATATATATATATATATATATATATATATATATATATACATTATTTTTATATACGTAATTATAATTGAAAGAGAAATGAAGTGTTGTTGGCAATTAAAGTATACTTCATTTATGTTAATAAATTATTCAAAACAACAAATACATATTAAATTACAATTCTTGATAGCTATCTATACATCGATAGTATTTTTTCTTATATTTCTACCAATAATTATGGCAATTAAAAAATAAACAAAGATTAATCAGGATAGAATCTGGATGCGTACTGATAAATAAGCCGTGCAATGGTTCTGGTGGTGTTTCAATTTCCATTAGTTGCAGTTTTATGATAAGTAAGCCTCCCTCTCACCAGAGGGAGACTTTGTACAAAAGTCGATTGCTTGGGTACCTCTGTCCCATTCGTGTTTCAACCGTGAAGCGGTTGTTTGCATGGCTGTGTTTCGGTTTGAAGGGTGAGATATGGCGTGAATTTACTGGGTACAGAGGAATAACATCAGAGTCCTCAGAAATGGCAACGCATGAGGAGTATCATGGGTGAAACAGTATACTCTGTTATGTCCATGGTACTGCTCATGTCTATAGGCGACGGTTACCACTTTCCATCAGGTGGGCCGTCAGCTTGTTTGCCATTCTAAGTTGTATAAAAAAAAATGTAACACATCCCGGCTGGCTGATTTTTAAATTTAAGTGCATGACAATGCGGGCATGCCTTGTCCAAAGTACCAATGATCACTTAATAGCAACTTAAACTTAATAATAAATTCACAATGAGAACAAAACTAACATGAGAGTTGTACTGAAAAGTTAAAATGATATGATGACGTATAACAGTCACTGCTATGATCGTGACAGAAATAAAACACAAAAAAAAAGAAATAGATGAAAACTGTATAGAGAGCGAGCGAAAGGAGGCCGGTTTCGTTCTCATCCTTACTCCGTGATGTAACTGATCGATTGGTAGTTGGCGAGTTATCGACCGACGAAATAAAAAAAAAATTTCAGTTTGTCTAATGGAATACCTTTTTAAAAGAATTAATATGATCAATTTGTGCTTGTTTTTAAGGTTATGTACTTTTAAATTACACTATATAAAACTAGTAAATAGGATCACATAAAAAACGCTTGATCCGGCAACAGGCGAAAGGGACTATTTTTTTTATACAACTTAGAATGGCAAACAAGCTGACGGCCCACCAGATGGAAAGTGGTAACCGTCGCCTATACACATGTGCAGTGCTGAGCAGTGCAGTGCCATGGACTATTAGTAATGGAGCGTAACATAAATGTACCACATCTAGTAGAGCTCTGGACACCATCGTGGTTTCATCATATCAGCCTTTAAATGTCCATTGTTGAACATAAGTCTCCTCCTTGGCAGGTTTGCCAGTAGTTGCCACGTTTGGAAGGTAGATTAGCAACCACAGTCAGGCTTTTGAGATGTTTTTTTTAGAGGGCGCTGCTGACCATCCTTTGTTAAAGTGGAGGCTTTATACTGCTTTGCCGCTCCGGGCTTCAGACGGACTTCAATGTGGGACCACACTGATTACAACTATCAGACCAGCTGCATTTCACCTTACGTTTTCACTTTCTGACCCAAGAAATCTTTAAACATCAATTTCTCCTCAGTTACGGCGAGGACAAAGACGAATCTGTGATAGAAGCGGACGTCGAGTATTTGCGTCTGACGCGGAAAGTGATCAACGACGAGATCACCAAGTTTGAAGACCTTAAGTGGCTGATTGGCTGGTTCAACAACCGCTCCGAGCTTATACAGGAGCATATTTGCAACACCAGATATTATACTGTTGGTGAGTGAATCTATTATTATTTCAGCCGTTAACTGTCCACTGCTGGACATAAGCCTTACCCTGAATGGGAGTTTTGCCAGCAGTTGCCACGCTTAGCAGGCGGATTGGCGACCACAGTTAAGTCTTTGAAGATGTTTTAAAACGGACGCTGCTGCCCATCCCTCCGCCTTCCTTAGTCGCCTCTTACGACACGGGAAAGAAAGGAATGGCCCATTCTATGCCGGGGTACACAGCGAACTATTTTAATACCCACTTAGAATTACAAACAAGCTGACGGCCCACCTGATGAAATGTGGTAACCGTTGCCTATAGACATGTGCAGTACCATAAACATAACAGAGTGTACTGTTTCGTCCATGATACCCCCTCTGCGTTGTCATTCCTGAAGACTCAGATGTTATTCCTCTGTACCCAGTAAATTCACTGCCATATCCCACCCTTCAAATCGAAACACAGCCATGCAAACCCAATTGCTTTACGGTAGAAACACGAATGGGACAGATGTAGCCAAGCAAACGAAGGTCTCTCTCTAGTAAATATGTAAGAGATGTAATCATCACTTACAAACGTGAAAAGCACCATAATAATAATAAATGCCTGCGCAATCGGTATACGCTGGCGGGGCACCAGTGAGGTATTACAGCTGAGGATGAAACAGGTCAATTAGCGCATCGTAACGATTTCAGCAGCAAATTAATAACGATGGTTTCCAGGAGGAACTGCAAGGAGGTCGACTTTTTTTTTATGGGTGATAATGGAATGGTGGCCCCACCCGCGCTATCGGTATACACCGGCGGGCACCAGTGAAGAATGATAGGTGAGAATGAAGCAGGCCAGTTAGCCCATCGTGACGAATTCAACAAGAATTGTTCACGATGGTTTCCAGGGGGAACCACGTGGAGGTCGACCTGATATTGCTAGCAAAGGGGCTGTCAAACTCCATTGCTAACAACCCCTTTCCCCTCAAGGAGGTTGACTTGATATATCCTATATTGCTAGCAATGGGTTGCTAATTTCCATTTTCCAGTTCTTCAGCGGGAGAACCTTAGGGTCGGGTGACGATTTATATGACAAAAAATTATCCAAGACACCAGGCCCTCTAGACAAGTGGCAAACGAATTCATCGATGGAATCCACATCGCTAGCAAATCTGTAAGATGGAAAGAGATAGAAACGTCGGATGTCTCATTCCAATTCATTGCCTTGCTTTCTACGCGTCTAGGGGGACTGGTAAGCTAAGCCGGCCCTGCCATCAGGTTGGCCATCAGCTTGTCCACCTGACGGAAAACATAAATAACAACGAGTCACTTCACCAGGCACCCCACCCACAATGTTCACACACCCTGAGGAGTACATGAAGCGTATGTGCCTTTTCGACAACGTTTATATCGATCACATCCCGTACGTGGTGGGCGAGGACAGCTCCCTGATGGCAGCGGTGGCGCCCCCTGTGTTGCACTGCGACGCAGCCACTTGCACCTCGGTGCCGTTTATAGACAGGTAAGTGTCATAGGCAAGGAGGAAAAGGATTGTTAGTAATGCGAATTTCCAGTCCCATTGCTAGCAATATACCCTATCAGGTCGACTTCCACGTGGTCCCCCCCTAGAAACCATCGTGTTGAATTCCAGGTGTATTCATATATTTTATAGCATTTTATATGTGATTCTTTAGATTGATATAAATTTTTTGTTTATGAAGTGAACTTGTTCTTTTATATAACTTTTTGGGCACTCAATGTTATGATGGAAATTTCCACCATTATGCAAATAGGGGTTTTTTTTGATGAGCGAAAATGGTGTGGTAACCCCGCCTGCGCTAACGGGATACGCTGGCGGAGCACCAGTGAAGGGTGATAGATGAAAATGAAAACAGGCCAGTTAGCCCATCATGATGAATTCATCAGGAATTGACCATGATAGTTTCCAGGGGAACCGCGAGGTGGGTGACCTGGTTGGGTATATTGCTAGCAATGGGATTCTCAGTCTCCATTACTAACAATCCCTTTCCCCCCTGCAAGGAGGGGTTAAAGGCTGATGATGATGATTACTGATATGTCTTATTGGCCAGTGTGATGTTCGACGAGCGATTGGCGAGGACGAACGTTCGCAAGGTGACTCGGTGTCAGGCGAGCTGCCGCGCGCACTGCCGCAACGACGTCGACTGTCTCAAGCGATGCTCTGACCGTTGCCTGCGCGCGGAGTGACCACCGCCAACAAGCTGCTGATCGTACGGCGAGGGCTGAGGTGGTGGATATAATGGATAGGTGGAAAGGTGGTCGTCATAATTATACGTTAGAAGTAAATACTTGTTTTATTTAAAATAACTTTATTTACTAAAGGGAAGCCATTTTAATGTAATAGTTTTTTTTTTATATATAATATTAAAAAATGTTACCCAAATTGCATGATGTGCTTTGCTTGCTGATAAATAAAAACCTTTTTTTTATTTTATCTTTTATACAACTTAGAATGGCAAACAAGCTGACGGCCCACCTGATGGAAAGTGGTAACCGTCGCCTATAGACATGAGCAGTACCATGAGACATAACAGAGTGTACTGTTTCGCCCATGATGCCCCCCATGCGTTGTCATTCCTGAGGGCTCAGGTGTTATTCCTCTGTACCGTGTAAATTCACGCCATATCCCACCCTTCAAACCGAAACACAGCCATGCAAACACAACTGCTTCACGGTTATTTATTTTATCTTTATTTGGTCTCCTAGCAATTGTTACACTGACATGATTTAATAGTAAAATTACTGTCTATTTATACATAGTGTACAATCATTTTAAAGATAATACAGCATGCTAAGGGGAAAGGAATTGTTAGCAATGGAATTTGACAGCCCCATTGCTAGCAATATGCCCTATTAGGTCGACCTCCACGCGGTTCCCCCTGGAAACCATCGTGAACAATTCTTGTTGAATTCCTCACGATGGGCTAACTAACCTGCTTCATCCTTACCTATCATCCCTCACTGGTGCCCCGCCAGCGCATACAGTTGGAGCAAGCGGGATTATCATTCCAATATCATGTATTAAAAAAGCGTCCACGAGTATGACACTAACAAAAAAACACAGTTTGTATAAACAATTTATTTATTAATAATTTCTCACAGATTATTGCATATTTATTTAATACTGTTATATAAAATCTTTCACAACGTTATTATAAATAACAATACACACGTATTAGAAATTTTAATTTAAATTTTCTATAATTCAACCCTTTGAGTGCCGACGAGCGCCACCTCGCTCGTGCGCATTGCAACTGAAAGTGCCACGAGCGTCATAGCGCTCGTGGAAACAGTCGCTGTTTAGCTTGCTGTACAAAATATATTAAAATTGGATAATTTTTGGAGGAGATACAGTTTTTTTTCGAGACAAGGGTAAACGATATCAGCACGACAACGATTTCTTTGGCATTTTTAAGTAGATATGAGCAAAAATCAATGGCACTGAAAGGGTTAAGAAAAACTATTATAGGGAGGGAAGTTTATTAACGCAAAGAGTTACCATACCATTATCATCTATTAAAAAAAAAACCCTTTTAGTGCCATTGATTTTTGCTCATATCTACTTAAAAATGCCAAAGAAATCTTTGTCGTGTTGATATCGTTTACCCTTGTCTCGAAAAAAAACTGTATCTCCTCCAAAAATTATCCAATTTTAATATTATTTTTTTATACAGCAAGCTAAACAGCGACTGTTTCCACGAGCGCTATGACGCTCGTGCCACTTTTAGTTGCAATGCGCACGAGCGCGATGGCGCTCGTCGGCACTCAAAGGGTTAAATATCTTCCATGTACAGACAGCGAGCAGTTACAATTTTATTATATGTATTAATTAATGATGATAGATGATTGATTAATGATTGATTAAAATTTTATAGTGATTGGTCATATTTTATGGTCCCAAATATGTGTCTATGTAGACACATATCTACATTAGAGTATTGTAATAAGTCACAATAAAGGAATTTCAATGGAATTTTAGCTTTCATCTCGCATTAAGGTCGCTGGCTCAGTGCTCTCGAAAGGTGAAACGTCAATGCATATTTTGCATCATTTATATGTATATATATGTACACGTATAGGAAATTAATAAAATTGTAAATTACTCCTAAACTCACTTCAAATAAATCAATGATTAGCTAATATTTGCATTTTTTCAAAAATTATGGTACCAGTGGTTGCATATTTACAGGAACTATGCACATGTGTGTGTACGTGCGTGTGTGTGTGCGTGCGTAAGTGTGCGTGCGTGCGTATGTGTGTGTGCGTGCGTGCGTGCGTACGTATGTGTGTGCGTGTGTGTGCGTGTGCGTGCTTGTGCGTGCTTGTGCGTGTGCGTGTGCGTTTGCATGTACGTGTGCGTGTGCGTGTGCGAGTGTGCGAGTGCGCGCGTGCGTGCGTGCGTGCGTATGTTGTAGTAAGATAAGTAAACTCACTTCAAATAAATCGATGATTAGCTAATATTTGCATCGTTTCCAAAATTATAGTACAGGCCGACAGGCAGAGGGCGGCAGTTTACATACATACCAGTGGTTGCATAACCACTAAATGCATATTTACAGGAACCATGCACATGTGTGTGAGCGCGCGTGTGTGTGTGTGCGTGCGTGCGTGTGAATGTGTATGCGCACGCGTATGTTGTAAGGTGAAAGTGTACTGCCGCGAAAGTATTAAAAATATAGCAAATAAACTAAATAATAAGAATAAATAATCATGGTAGAAGTGACACTGTTTTTTCATGTACTTTCCATTGTGAGTGCACCGACGCCGACAACTTACATCCCACTTCCCCTCACTGACAACAGGGTTGTCACAGATTTTTACTCATTTCAGGGTTGCAAGATGCGAATTTTGATTTTTACCCAAACATTTTCATACAAACAAACATAAATCCATTTTTTATCTAAATGGATATAATTTTCAGTATTTTTACACTATCTTATTTTAATTATGTATCGTATATACCCGTACAGAGTTTACAAGTACTAAAACTATTACCCAAAATTTTCAAAAACGTTACCCAAGTTGCATGATGCGATTTTGTTTATGCAACTTAGAATGGTAAACAAGCTGACGGCCCACCTGATGGAAAGTGATTACCGTCGCAATAGACATAACAGAGTTACCATTTGATGAAAATGATTTATTAAACGAGTCAGTGTTGCCAGATAATTTTTTTTTTTTGCTATTTTGAGTAAAATTTTCCTATCGCACATTTTTTTTATAATACAGGTGGCAAATGAGCATGCTGCTTACCTGATGGTAAGTGACTACCGCCGCCCATGATTATCCGCAACGCCAGAGGCAGGTTTTACCAGAGGGAGACTTTGTAAAAAAATCGTTTGCTTGGCCACCTCTATCCCATTCACGTTTCTACCGTGAAGCAGTTGCGTTCACATGGCTGTGTTTCGGTTTAAAGGGTGGGCATATGGCAGTGAATTTACAGGGCACAGAGGAATAACACCCGAGTCCTCAGGAATGGCGACGCATAGGGTGTATCATGGGCGAAACAGTATACTCTGTTATGTCCATGGTACTGCTCATGTCTATAGGCGACGGTTACCACTGTCCACCAGGTGGACCGACAGCTTATTTGCCATTCTAAGTTGTATAAAAAAAAAATAAAAAGTTTGTTTTTGCCTACTCTAATGGGAGACAGGCGTGATCGATATGTACCTACATGTGTATGTACGTATATAGTTTAATTTTCATAAAAAAAGAATCACCCATATCGGTTTATAAATAACGAAGATGTGTTGTGAGGTAAACATAAAAATAATACAACCGAATTTGGACCTTTTTAACTCGATCGAAAAGTTATATATTGCATATTTAAATACTTCCTGAGGATTTTCAGCAATTATTATAAAGGATCATCTAACTTTTTTTTATACCACTGAGGTGGCAAACAAGCATACGGCCCACCTGATGGTAAACGGTTACCGTAGCCTATGAACGCCTGCAATACCAGAGGTATTACACATTATTGCATGAGGTACCTTCGCTCATTCTATTTCACTCTTCGACTCTGATCAGAGTACCTTGAGACTGATCTGAGATACTGAGAGACTGTCAGGAACTGTTTATGTAAGCTCATTTACCTCCTGACGATCATCAGGGACTGTATAAAGATTCAGATACGTCCTGGGTATCGTCAGGAATCGCTATGATGGCGCAGCTACCTGCCGAGCGATCAGGAGCTGCTATGAAAGTTCCGCAACCTCCTGGGGTGTGGTCAGCAACTTGTCTGATGCCCACGTGGGTCTTCTCCCGGGCCGCTGCGGTGGCACTTCCACGTTGTGTTGCCGGTACAAATGCTTCTTCCAGTAACAGCGGCGTGTGAAGAATGAGTGGCATATATCACATTCGAATCTGAAAATCGTTTATTGCATAAATATGTATGAGTAACAAATCGCTCTAGTCAATGGTTTTTAATGGAATGGTAACCCCGTATGCGCTAACTGGCGGGGCACCAGTCAGGGGTTATACATAGGTGACGATAGTCAGGTCATTTGGACCATCGTGAAGAATACATCTGGAATTCAGCATGATAGTTTCCAGGGAGACCATGTGGACCTAACAGGGTATATGGGGGGAAAGGGATTGTTAGTAATGAAGACTGAGAATCCTATTGCTAGCAATATACCCAACCAGGTCGACCTCCTCGCGGTTCTCCCTGGAGACTATCATGGTTAATTTCTGATGAATTCATCATGATGGGCTAACTGGCCTGTTTTCATTCTCATCTATCACCCTTCACTGGTGCTCCGCCAGCGTATCCCGTTAGCGCGGGCGGGGTTACCATACCATTTTCACCCATCAAAAAAAAAAACAGGGTATATTGCTAGCAATGTATATACACATACACACACATATCAAACGCAAAACAAACAAAAAAATTATAATAACAGGTAATCTATGTAACGGAATTATGAGATGACAAACATGGAAAAAAAACACAAACGAATTAAAAACTTCTCTTTTTTTGAAGTCGGTTAAGAAAAACGAGGATTAGCCACTCACCGCCTTATCTCGTTGTGCGAGTCCACGTGCCTGTTGAGTTTGGTGCGGTCGAAGAATTTGCGGTCGCACAGCTGGCACTGGAAGCGCTTCACACCCTCGTGGAAGCGGCGGATGTGGTCGGTGAGGTTCGACGACGTGTGGTAGGATGACGTGCAGAAGTGGCACTGGTACTGCTTCTCACCTGCAATATCATTTATTTATGTTGGACAAAAAGAAGGGTGAAGGACAAACCTGGTTCACTTAGTCCCCGCGTGCAGGTCTTTTGTACGCGTTCTCGTTCTCTCTTCTAAATATCTAACACTTGTGTTGATTTTGCTTAAGGTGTCACTGTATGTTGCGCGGAGATCGCGGCTGATTGACCAATTCGCAACTGGCGGAGATTTTTCGTGATATTGGCGGAACTTTATTCGCTCGACGCGCAGTTGGATTACAGACTGATTTTGTCCATCTATCCCCCAATGTGATCCCAGATTTGATAGGAAATATGGATAGGTAAGGAGGGTAGAAGGATATTGCGTTCGGAAATGTTTAAAGCATATACATATGATGAGATTATATTTACCAATTTATTTTACAACACATGGGGCAAACGAGCATGCGGCCCACCTGATGGCAAGTAACTACCTAAGCATATAACTTTTTAAAAGGCCGGCAGTACACCTGCAATGCCTCTGGTGTTGTGGGTGACCATGGGCGGCGGTAGTCACTTACCATCAGATGAGCCGTTTGCCCCCAGTGTTGTAAAAAAAAACCTACCGCCGCCCATGATCACCCACAACACCAGAGGCATTGCAGGTGTGCTGCCGGCCTTTTAAAAAGGAATATGTTCTTTTCTTGAAGGTTTTTTTTTTGTTGGATGAAAATGGTATGGTAACCCCGCCTGCGCTAACGGGATACGCTGGCGGAGCACCAGTGAAGGGTGATAGATGAGAATGAAAACAGGCCAGTTAGTCCATCATGATGAATTCATCGGGAATTAACCATGATAGTTTCCAGGGGGAACCGCGAGGAGGTCGAGCTGGTTGGGTATATTGCTAGCAATGGGATTCTCAGTCTCCATTACTAACAATCCCTTTCCCCCCTTTCTTGAAGGTCATGATGTCATATCGGTTGGGAAATACTGCTTTGTCTTAAATCCGCGCGTGCAAAGTAGCAGACAAAAAGCTAGTGGTCCAATAAAGATTTTACAATACAATTGGCCCGACCGAGAATCGAACCCAGTGCGCTACGCAAGGGATCACAATCTCACCTGTGTGTATCCGCAGGTGCTTGACGAGATCGTGCTTGTGCCAGGTGCGGTAGTCGCACCGCTCGCAGCCGTACTGCGGGGGGAGGTGCGACCGCGTGTGCGTGTACAGGGACGCGCGGTGGGTGAACACCTTGCCGCACATCTGTGGACATCATCGGACCCCTCTAGACAAGTGGTAAACGAAAATATCGATAGATAGATTGTCGCTACCGAGTTCGAGATAGAGAGAGATGGCAATATTTAGCGTTTTTTTTTATACAACTTAGAATGGCAAACAAGCTGACGGCCCACCTGATGGAGAGTGGTAACCGTCGCCTATAGACATGAGCAGTACCATGGACACAACAGAGTGTACTGTTTCGCCCATAATACCCGCCATGCGTTGCCATTCCTGAAGACTCAGGTGTTATTCCTCTGTACTCAGTAAATTCACGCCATATCCCACCCTTCAACACAACTGTTTCACGGTTGAAACACGAATGGGACAGAGGTACCCAAGCAATCGACTTTTGTACAAAGTCTCCCTCTGGTATTTATATATTCTTGTTTCTCGTGTGTGCACACACCGAAACGATTCTATGGGTAGATTAGTCTTTTTTCAACCAACTTTAAAAAGAAGGTTTTCTCTTTTATCCGAAAGGACACACTTCAGATTGGTCCCATACAAATTAAAAAAAAATGGTGACATACTAGCATTCCCATTGTTTTTTAATGTATTAAAAAAAATATCAATGTAATCAAATTATTTTTTTTTTTAATAATGAAGCCCATTTCATGAATAAAAAATTCTCTCCCCTCAGAATCTCCCTGTATATAATAATAATAATGCATGCAGTATCGAAAATGTATCTACTGACAAAACTTGGCAGTAGAAACATATTTATTGTGTACTAGCGGCCCGTTCCGGCGTCGCACGGGTGAACATTTTAACATTTTAAAAAGTGGCCATTAATTCTACGCACGCGATGGAAGCTTAAAAATGGAGTAACTTCTCCCGTTTTCCCGACATTTCACTTCACTGCCCTGCTCCTATTGATCGTAGCGTGATGAAAAGTATACTATAACCTGCCCAGGAGTATGAAGAATAATTGTACCAAGTTTCGTTAAAATCCATCGAGTAGTTTTTATTTCTATAACGAACATACAGATAGACAGACAAATATTTTACTGATTGCATTTTCGTCATCAGTATCGATCACTAATCACCCGCTGATAGTTATTTTGCAAATATATTTCATGTACAGAATTGACCTCTCTACAGATTTATTATAAGTACAGATGTATATTTATCTAAGTAGAGCGCACACTCACCTCGCAGACCCAGCTCTCGTTTTCCTTGTGCACACTCCGCTTGTGCTCCTCCGACTGTTCCCTGCTGGTGAACTTGACACCGCACGGTTCGCACTGCAGCCTCGTGAACTTGTACTTCCTCAGCCTCTTAGGTCGTCCAGTTTTCTTGTACGGGCCACGAGTCTTACGCACTTTTGCCACTTTCTTGATCTCTGTCTTGCTGAAAAAGTTCAATGTATGTAAAGTGCTTTGATACGATGAAAATTTCTGATAGAATATGTCAATAAGTCAATTTTATATTTCTTTTTATACTAATATTATAAATGTGAGTTTATTTGTTACCTTATAGCGCTTTAATGGCTTAAGCAATCATTATGACATTTGGTATTTAACGTGTTTGGTATGTGACGTGTTTGGTATATGATGTGTTTGGTATTAATGACGTGTTTGGTATGTGACGTGTTTGGTATTAATGACGTGTTTGGTATTAATGACGTGTTTGGTATGTGACGTGTTTGGTATATGACGTGTTTGGTATGTGACGTGTTTGGTATTAATGACGTGTTTGGTATTAATGGCGTGTTTGGTATTAATAACGTGTTTGGTATGTGACGTGATTGGTATATGGAAAGGCATATAGGCTATTTATCTCCTGACCATTAAATATAATTCAGTCACACAGAAGAAATTACAGGTAAAAGCTTGTAAGTTTTAAATATATAGAATATTTTCTGGCTTTTACCCATTTTTTGTATTAGTCTATGTATATATATACCGAGACTAATACAAACATATATAGTTGTAAATGCAAATACCATATGAGAATCAAACCCATAACTATCTAGTAAAGCAGTGTGTTAATTCACAAGACCACTACAAGTATACCTTTCATTAACATGTGGCGTTAACTTTATCTCCTTTGTTATTTCATCACAAATCTCATCATCCAGAGTTTCCTTTTTTACATCAACCTCATTTAAGTTATATGATACATCATTTAATTCATCATCGCTAGCTTCAATCTTGATATCGGTGAGGAGTTTCCTGAACATGTTGTCAGCATGTATACAAGTTGTTTTAAACTTGTGAGCGACAGTGAGATCAGTGACACATGTCTCACATATTTGTGAAGGTAAGCCGTCTTCTTTTGCGAACTGTAAATATATATTTATTTATTTATTCTTTATTGCACAATAAAATTTTGTACAAGTGGCGAGCTTAATGCTATATGGCATTCTCTACCAGCTAACCATTAGGTTTTTTTTTGTATATACAACTTACTTATAACAACAAAAATGGCAAACAAGCTGACCGTCAGGTCCACCTTATGAAAAGTGGTAACCGTCGCCTTAGACATGAGCAGTACCATGGACATAACAGAGTATGCTGTTTCGCCCCTGATACCCTCCATGCGTTGCCATTCCTGAGGGCACAGGTGTTATTCCTCTGTACCTTGTAAATTCACGCCATATCCCACCCTTCAAACCGAAACACAGCCATGCAAACACAGCTGCTTCATGGTTGAAACACGAATGGGACAGAGGTACCCAAGCAATCGACTTTTGTACAAAGTCTCCCTCTGGTGAAACAGAAAAACAGAAGGTAAAAAGGTAAAAACAGAAAGCATATGAAGGGCAGATGTGGTGAAAAAATATGTGAAATAATTATAGCAACATACTGAAATAATTATACATAATAATACATAATATATAACAATAAAATCCTTTATTACCAAATACAGGGTTGCACTGCTCCATATTTTTTTGCCCCGACTTACAAATTAGGGTAATATGTTCTTTGTATGCCAATTTATTTATTTATTTATCCAAAGTCCAAAATTTTTTATTTTTAATTTATAATTTTTAAAATGTTATATGTACAAAAACTAGTATTATGTATTTGTACATGCAGAATTAACAATATTAAGTTATAATATAAACATAATAAAACTAATGAAGAAAAAAGAAATGGAATAATATTATCTACTGCTGAACTTAGCCACCCCTATAAGGGAGGGTTTTGCTAGTAGTTGTTGCCACACTTGGCGGGCAGGTTGGCAACCGCAGTTAGGTTTTAGAGATGTTTTAAGAGGGATGCTGCTGCCCATCTCTCGCCCTCTCTTAGTCGTGATCTGACAAGGTATATTGCTAGCAATGGGACTGGTAGTTCATGTTACTAATGATCCCTTCTTCTCCTGCTGCTGAAGTTGGAAATTAGTGTAAGATACTGTTAAATGCAGATCTATTTTCAGTGTTTTTTTCCCTATGTATCTAGAAGTTTTAGTCAGTGAGAGAACTGACCTAATAGACAAAACAAACCTAAGGGTAGGGTCTTCCTTTACATATCTATACCAATTTTTTATGTATATAACTAGAAAAACTACTACCAAAAAAAAATTTTAGGCAAATATAATAACTTACCACAACTCCCGTACAAAATTCAATTTGACTGATAAAATCGAATTCCGTATCAAACATTCGACTCATGTTAGCTTTCCTGGCCATGCACACTCTGCAAGACTCTTTGATTCCGTTAATCCTCGGTAAGGAGTCGGGGAGAGTTGTCGTTTGCGTTAACTCCATTTCATCAGTATTAAAATCACACTATTTCTCTTACTTCAAATTTACAAATACGAATAATTTAAGAATAGGGGTAGGACACAACAATTAAAATAGTGTCATTTTTTATTCGTTATAGCATAACAAATATAAAGCCAATTCCAAAATAATACAAAAAATATAATTAGCTGGACTGGTAAATAGGTACTTTTTTTTATTTTTAAGACAACAATAGAAAATAAATAAAAAACTGTATAAATAATTTTATAATGTTAAATCACAGAAAGTCTGTAGATTGTCAAATGCACTGTCCATCTCTAATGACATTTGAGCGATGACGTTGACGTTAGATACTATTCAGTTATCAATCAGCAGTCAATCAAACGTCAATGTCAAATAATCTGTTGCCTAAGTCTGTGCTGTTGAATTGAATTCCAATTTGCGGTGACGCGTTTTGGTCGTTTTGTTAAAGAATCATTAAATATTAATATAAAGTGTCGTTTCGTTTTGTATCCATTCATTGGGACTGACGATAGTGACAGTTTACATTTAGCTACCCATTTTTTTATAATCTAATCTATTGCTAAAGATTTTATCAGTGCATTTTTATAACCAATACTCTTCGCTGCAGCGGCTTTTATATCTGTAAGTAATTTTATACATTTAATGAAAAACAACTTTAGCGATAGGGATAACGATTATCTCTTTTTATTCTACTGATTTTAATTGATTTTTATATATCATAACGTTGTAATTAATAATATATTTTTGAATATAAATCAATGTTTAATCGCGGCTTATTGATTGTCGTGTTTTCATTCGGTTATCTTTACGCACTATCGTCACGAAATTGACTTGTCGTTTATAAATAACATCGGTATTTTTTTATATAGTTAACAGCAACGTTTCATTAGAGTCTTGTTTACCTTTTGGATTCTAATATGTTAGGTGAAATGAGGACAAGTTTTACGTTCACCTCAAGGAATACAGTCGTGAATATATATTTTTTTAATTTCAAAATTCAGAAAGCTCTCAAGCTACTTTTAAAATATTTTTTTAATTGTGTGATTTTTAAATTACCTAAGGACTGACTCATAAATTATTATACTATAGTTTTTATAATATATTTTTTTTTTAATATTATAGTGTTCATTTTAGTCTACTTTCATATTATTTTGATATAATTAGAAATTGCATATTATTTATTGCTTTATTTCTTATTTATTAATTGACATAGATATATTATGTTTATTAATTATGCTATGTATTGAGAAACAAATTGTAGTGGAATAATAAAAAAAATATTTATTTATTTATTCATTAGTACATATATGTGTATATGGCGGACTTAATACTAAAAGCATTCTCTCCCAATCAACCATAGGGAAGTGTCAGAATACTCGAATGTGGTACTAATATAACTTACCTACTTCAGCACGCTCCCTTAACTCACGCTGTATAGTTATAATATTATAATTTTGTATATTAGCACACTGGGTTTCTAACATTGATTTGGCTTTTGCTGTCATAATGTTGTAAAAATTTTTAATGAATAAATAAAAATAAATAAATAAAAAATATTGGAATGGTAACCCTGCCTGTGCTAATACACTAGCGGGGCACCAGTGAGAGATGATTGGCACGAATGAAAAGGCAGTTCAGTTAGCCCATTGTGAGAAATACATTTCAAATCCAGCATAATGGTTTCTGGTAGAACTACTGGTGATCAACCTGATAGAGTATATTGCTAGCAATGGGATTACTCCTCTGCATTACTAACAATCCCTTCCCCCCCAGGAGGGATCTTGTAACTATTGCATAAATGTCAGAATGCGTAAGGATGTTTTCATGTAAAAACTACTGAATGGATTTGAATTAAGAGTGTTTTTTTTTAATGGGTTATAATGAAATGGTAACACCATCTGCGCTATCGGTATACACCGGTGGGGCACCAGTGAAGGATGATAGGTGAGGATGAAGCGGGTCAGTTAGCGCATCGTGACGAATTCAACAAGAATTGTTCACAATGGTTTCCAGGGGGAACCGTATGGAGGTCGACCTAACAGGGCATATTGCCAGCAATGAGGCTATCAAACTCCATTTCTAACAATCCCTTTCCCCCCGAATTAAAAGTGTTTTACCAGTGTATTTGAATTACTTTATATTACAAGAATATATAAAAAGTTCCGCATGCCAAGCTAATATGTTGCAGCATTTAGCATTGCAATGGATTTATTTTATTGAAAAATAGATAGATGGATAAACTCTTTATATGCATTAAGAGATATACATAAATTGTGACAATAGGAACAGAAAAAACGACATGACACCTAGTGTTTCTTTTATCTGTCCCATGTAGTTATTCCTCGGTCTTCCCCTTCCTTTTTTGCTTTCTATTTTTCCTTCTAATATGCTCTTAAAATAAATCGTCATGTCATATAAGGTGGCCCAGCATTTTGCCTCTTTTTTCATTTTCAGATACTGCCTGAAAAAAAAAATTAATGATATACCAAATATTTTAAATTTTATGATCAGATACTGCTTAGTATTTTGTATTTAGTATTTGTATACTATGTGGTATGGAAAAGGTTATAGGTTCCTTTTTATTCCAGTGATTCTACTTATGGTGTACTAGCGGCCCGTCCCGGTTTCGCACGGGTGGCATTTTTACATTTTAAAAAGTGGTTATTGTGACATAACGATAATAGTTGGACATATAGTGTCGCGAAGTTTTTTTGTAGTTATTGATATTTTCTTCAATATAGTAGAACATACTTTTGTTCTATCACCAATAGTTTCCGCGGAGCACGCGACGACAGATATTTTATAGCATTTTTTTTACACCTCGAGTGACGTAGCTAAAGTTTTAGTAAGGATCCCTAATCTTTTCTAGCAATAAATATAGCCTAAGTTACTCAGGGTGAATGTAGCTTTCTAATGGTAAAAGAATTTTTGAAATCGGCCAAGTAGTTTTTGAGTTTTGTAATGAATAATTACAAACATACACACAAAAATATAAATCTTTCTATAATATAATCTCTTTATAATATTAGTGTAGATGGAGTACAACAGCTGTACCATTTAAACAAATAATCGTACGAATAACTGTTGAAGTATAGTTTATTGTGAACTCTATATAGCAACCCTAACTTTGTTTATGGTATTAAAAAAAAAAACTTCTTGTGTCAATGACAGAACTAAAAAAGGTTGTTTTTTTTTTTTATTTCTCTTCTCCATCGTTAATAATCTATTTAGTTGACTTGTAATAACATATTTAGTTGACGTGTAACAACAATAATAATAATAACAATAACGTTTATTGTGCCTGTGTTGCCTTCAATCTGTTTTGAATGGTGATATTTTGTGATTTGATAACAATCCTCATGATATCTCGTTGCAGTTTATCTTTCGAAAACATACTATTTACTACAAACACATTTATAACAACATTAATGCAGGCAAAGTCCACGAAAACTGTATCACATTTATCGTGTAAATAAATAATGATGATTCGATGGTCGCGCCATAATGTTTTGCATTCCTATTTTAAACAATTTCTAAATAAAGTGGGTTCTAGCAGAACCAGTGTTGCCCGACCTTTTTTGTGCCATCGCCCACTAGAACATTTCTAACATTTTTATGCCCCCATACATAATTGTTCCCGGCAAAGTTTACTTGACGACTCTAATCGCCCAATTGATATTTTGGTAACGTCAAACGAAATTATACCTAATAAATATTTAAAGCATTTTTTTTTTATTTACTCTTTTGTTAAATTTGGCACCGATATCTACTCGTAGTATTGCATTTAAATAGCCTGGGGCAAGGAGGTTAAAATCGTCTCCCCCCCCCCCCCCCTTAACTACCAAATTGGCCCCCCGTGGGGCGTGGGCCCCACATTGGGACACCGTTCTAGACCCTAAGGAATCACCAGGCATCAATAGGCATTGTTCAGTTACAATTTTCCTTTATTTGTAAGATAAAATAGGTATCGTATAGATGTCACCGTGTGGTCCTGGCATAGAATGGGCCACCCCTACCTTTCCCGTGGGTGTTGTAAGTAGGATTGCCAACTTTTTCTACAACAAATAAAGTATATTTAGATCTGAGAAGAATATTAAACGGTATTTTAGAAAAAATAAACAGTAATTTATGTATTAAATGTTTTGAATACATATTTCTTAAAACTTATTGCACAACCTATTAATTTAGTCTTTTTTTTTTTAAATAAATGCGAATCTCATTTTTTATTAAATTAATCTGCACTGAGCGCCCTCTGACTGAATAAAAAAAATTGTGTGAGCCTCTAACACTTATAGTGTAAAGCATTTTGATCCTTGAAACAGTATTTTGTATACTTTATTTTTGTTCCACAGTAAAAAGTATAATGTAGTGAAAAACAGTATATAAGTGTTTTTAACAGTACAATTGGCAACTCTAGTCGTAAGAGATGACTAAAGGAACTTTATTGTCAAGAGATAGGCAGCTACGTCCCTCTTAACCCTCCTTTGCATGCTTTTTTTTATACATACATATCTGTCACGTCTGTCTCCCATTAAATTAGGCAGAAACAATGGGACGTCAAATGCTTCGATTCAAACAAACCTCTTTCGCTTCTTCCACATTCATCAATCTTTTCATACACGCTCGCCGGTTACGGGTACTTTTTTTATTGGTAAAATAAATCAAGGTAATATAATTCATGTTCAAAATTAAAGGAAAAATGGTTAATAAAGTAAATTTGACAGCTATGTTTTAATTTTTGCAATGGACATTAAAAAGGTATCCAGACACGATCAATTTAAAGTGAACTTGGTCTTTTATATAATTTTTTGGCATTCGATGTTATGATGGAAATTTCCACCGTTATGCAAAGAAGAGTTAAAATATCACCAAAAGCCTAACTGCGATTGCCAAACTGCCTACCAAGCCCGCCAATTACTAGTAAAACATTTTAAGAGACCCATGTCCAGCAGTGGACAAGTAACGGCTGATATGATGATGATGATGATGATGATGATGATGATGATAGCATGCTACAACAAATTTATTTTTAAATCTAGAACTCATAAACATAGCTGTTTTGTTTTTTTTTTTTTCGTTATATTTGATAATGTTGTTGACTTTTAATGGCATAAACATTATGTCTCTCGCCTTATCTACAAAGGTCGCGGTCCGTTCGAAACATAAAATAGAAGATTAGATGAAGTTATTTATAGTTTTATAAGAAAATAATAAAAAAAAATATGTCTTTATGTTATTATCTAATCAGTTTTTGGTGGCTCAGGTGAGCGGTTTATAAATCTTTAAATTTTTTTTTTTTCATTTTTAAGCGATTTCGTAAAGAAGTGAGTACTCAATTCGGCTGATTTTTTTTTCGATTGTGTTATGATTGTGATGCCATCTTTTCTTTTTATAACATAGGGGTCAAACGAGCATGCGTCCCGCCTGATGGTAAGTGACCACCGCTGGCATTGCCGCCCATGATCACACATGAACAACACCAGAGATATTGTAGGTGTGCTGCCGGCCTTTTAAAAATTCGGAAATACTGCTGCTGGAATTTGATTCCAAGAAGTGGTTGTTTTGTTGAATTTTGTAGCGATTTTTTGAATTTTTAGCGAATTCTGTGACAAATGAAATTG